CGAAATATATTTGCCTCAAGTCACGCAATTTTGGCCGTCATACGTGCTCATGTTGGGTCACCGTCACTGGCTACACAGGTGCTGATCGTGCAAATTCCGTATTTGGTTCAGGAGAAGTAGCCAGGGTCCTGCCTTTCCCGCCGCTATGTATTGCTTCATTGATAGGACGGGTCGGAATTCCCGCCACTATCGAGCCTTGCATGCACTAAGCCTGGACTAGCAACCGCAGTGGGAGCCTTATATAGCGGGCCCACAATATGATGTACGTGGTACGTTCCTCTTCTCTACCCACGGTCTTGTGGTGATGTCACATACTTTAGCCGTAATTCTACCCTTCCTGGCGATTATCATTTGCAGAGCACTCTGGAATAAGTACACGCGACCTGCCCCGTTTCCTCCAGGTCCGCCTGCAGATCCTTTAGTCGGCAGTCTTCGAGCCTTCCCTATCCACGACACACCCGTAGGTCTTATGCAGCTGGCCGAGAAATATGGTGCGTCTCTCGTGCACGTCCCTCATACTGACGGCTTATAGCCAGACGTCTAGGTGATGTAATGTACTTCGACGTCTTTGGGAAGTCTCTTGTCGTCCTCAGCAGTCAAGAAGCTGCCTCCGATCTGCTAGAAAAGCGAAGTGCCGTCTATAGCAGCCGTTCATCCTCCACCGTCCACGAGATGTACGTCTCTCACGGGCTCGGTAACTGATAAATGTGCTTATGTATGACAGGATTGGATGGGCGGATATGCTTACACTCCTACCCTATGGAGAACAGTTTCAGAAGCAGCGCAAATTTCTCCAACAGGCCTTCACCAAACAAGGCTGTCTTGCGTTTCGCCCGAGTCAGCTGTCTCAAACCCATCTGCTCCTGAAAAGAATTCCGCAAGATCCAGCGTGTTACGAGGATCATGTGCGGCGGTACGAATTTAACGAAGAAAAGCTCACCTATCTGGGAATCTGACCATATGTTGCAGATTCACCGCTGCAGTTATCATGGAGATAGCATATGGACACAAAGTCGCATCGGATGACGATCCTTATGTCGATATCGCAGAGAGAACGCACAAAATTCTCATGGAGGCCGGCCATTCCCTGTCTATACTCGATTTTTTCCCTTGGCGTGTACATGCCCTTATCTATGCTTTGGACAACTCACTGACAGTCTGCAGTCAGATACTTGCCTAGCTGGTTTCCGGGGAATTGGTTCGGTCGTTTTGCAAACGGTACATAAATATCCATATGTTTGGCCGTTCTGCGCCTCATGTATGTTTCCCAGATGCAGCATCATTTGTTCAACACATGCGCGACATGCCTTTCGAACAAGTACGCCAACAGATAGCACGTGATTTGTTGAGTCTGCTATCCTATGCAGTTTATTGAGCGTAAGGTGTAGGCGACCGGCAATGCTGCTCCGAGCTTTACGTCAATGCAGATCGAGGAGCTTGAACGAGATGGAGGAGCAAGTCCTGAATCTTTGCAAACCTTAAAAATCGCCTCGTCGCAGATGTACGTGGCTGGCGCAGATTCAGTACGTGTTTTCCATCACCTGTGTTCTAGCGCTGATTTGGGCCGCAGATATGGTCTACGATCTTGAATGTCATCGCCGTGCTGTTTCTTCACCCCAAAGTGCAGCGCAAAGTACATTATGAGCTGGATCGCGTTCTCGGCGGGAAGAGGCTGCCTGACTTCGACGACCACGAATCGCTTCCTTATCTCGACGCAGTCATCCAAGAGACGATGAGGTGGCACCCGACTGCTCCGCTCGGTATGCTCTAGTTCGATCAACCCTGTCAGGATGGCTGAGTTACGGTTCGCATCAGGTATGCCACACAGGAGTACTGCAGACGACATCTATCGTGGCATGTACATTCCGAAAGGTACCACAGTCCTTGCCAATAGCGTGTATGCCTCCTACCCTTTGCGATATGCACCTAGCCTACCGTGGCTGTGCGTTCAACAGCGCGATGTCCATGGACAATACGGTGTACGGCAGTCCTACCGAGTTCCGGCCAGAACGTTTCCTCCCACCTCGATCAGAGCCACTGCCTGTAAATATCAGTTTCGGCTGGGGACGCAGGCGGGCACTCTCGCACGATGTAACTTAGGAATCGCAGGCTAACCAGCTGCTCATCAGGATGTGTCCGGACGGCACTTGGCCGACGCCAGTGTCTGGATCGTCGTCGCGTCGTTGCTTACCGTATTCGAGATTATACCTGCAAAGGACGACAAGGGGCAAGACATCATACCCGAAATCAAGTGGCTCTGTGGTATTACGAGGCCAGTATTTTGCTACCACTGCGTCCAGTTACGGATTCTGATGCGCACCCAAATGTTGTGGACAGCCATCCCGCGCCGTTTCCGTGTGTAATACGTCCACGTTCAGACGACATGGCGCGGCTGATCGCTGGGCTCTGATATCGCATACACAGTGGGCAGGTTGCACAAATGCAAAAGTGTGCGCGTAACAAATACCTCCCCTGCGAGCATCTTGAAGAGCTGAACGGTGCAGGGATCCTGCCTGCCGTGAAAGGGGAGTAGCGTCTTCGTCGCCGCCCTCTCAAATGAAAGTTTTACTCATTCTCCGACATACCTGCGCAATAGCAGCGATTCTTTTAATACATGTATATAAAGTACGATAGTGTATCTTACGAAAGAGCCTTCCTCCTCAGTCCTTCCCGAGACGCTTATGTAAAGATTCCTCAAGCAAGACAGGAGGGCGATCACCTGCGAACCGCGCCAAGAGTTTGTCATAGAAGTAGGGTAGGGTGTGTGATACACTAATCGATGTTCAGCGGTTTGCGGTATCCAGGGTATTTGACGGATGGTGGTCGCTTCACGAGACCCCGGTACCCGGTCCTACACCTGTGTCTGCACACTCTTGTCCATCGTGCATCAACGTACGATATCTTTCGTCCACCCCCTTTCCGAGTATTCGACTCGGGTCACCTCAGTTCCTCTGTTATCTGTAATACCTACAACGCTCTCACCTCGCGCGAGAGTGTGATTAAGGTCTGAGCGTGTACCCTGAGGTCTGCGTGCACTGGTTGGTTGCACATGTCAAGGTGTCGGACGATGGGTTTAAGTCTGTGACTGTTACGAATGTCCTACCGCGGGCAGCAATAACAGAAGACGCAGCCCCGGGTGTATCATCCGTGAATCGCATTACGAAACTCGGTAACTCAGGGAACAGCGGCTTCCCTCGCCACATGCACAACCGCATTACCACCGGCGTTCAGAGTGCCCTAACCGTCATCGCGGGATTATGAGACGACTCTTTTCTGTGCCTGACAAGTTTCCGTGCAAAGGCTTGAAGCCGGTGATAGTAGATGCGGAGTCTTCATATCACTCCCCGCCGGTCTGAATATACACGGTATGTTACTCACACTTGGGTTGTCCTGCGACTTCACCAGCATGTCGTACAGTTCAGTCATGTCTCTGCTCTTCCTAGCACTATCACTCGTCATTGGTAGGGCACTTTGGGATAGATTAAATCGGCCCGCTCCCTTTCCCCCAGGCCCGCCTGCAGACTTGCTGGTCGGCAATGTTCGCACCTTTCCTGCTCATGACCCGCATTTGGGTCTCATGGAACTAGCCAAGAAATACGGTACGTCTCTCGAAGAAAATTCGTGAGCTAGCTGTTTATTAAGCATTGTAGGCGATGTGATGTACTTCAACATCTTTGGGAAATCCGTGGTGATTCTTAGCAGTCAGACCGCTGCCTCGGATCTGTTAGAAAAGCGGAGCATGATTTACAGCAGCCGTCCACGGTTTATGGTCCACGAGATGTACGTCCTATAGCTTACTCGATAGACTCGCTATGCTCACAGTGATGCTACCACACAGGGTCGGGTGGACGGACATGCTCTCGTTTTTGCCCTATGGCGAGCAGTTCCACAAGCAACGCAAACTTTTTCAACAGGCTTTCACAAGACAGGGCTGCCTCGCCTTCCGCTCGAGTCAGCTGTCACAGACGCATCTACTTCTGAAGAAGATCATGCAGTATCCAGCGCGCTTCGAGGATCATGTACGGCGGTATGACCGTTACGAAACTAGTTTAGTCGGGTGTTTAATCATACTCTACAGATTCTCCACCGCGGTCATCATGGAGATAACATACGGACACAAGGTCACGTCAGATGACGACCCATACGTAAACATCGCAGAGGAGACGAACAGAATTCTCATGAAAGCAGGCCATTCTCTGTCCATCATCGACTTCTTTCCATCGCGTGCGTATGGTGTCGCTGTTATATTGATGGTTCATTGACAGTCTGTAGTACAATATCTGCCGAGCTGGCTTCCAGGGAATTGGTTCACTCGCTTCGCAGAAGGTACGCTCTCCTTAGCATAATATGTTGAGCTTCCATGCACGATATCCCATTAGATGCGGCACCGTCCATTCGGAATATGCGCGACTTTCCTTTCGAACAAGTGCGCCAACAAATGGTATATCTCATCTATTAGACGTCTGATTCTCTAGCTGAATACGTTACGTAGGCCTCTGATAATGCGACTCCAAGCTTTATGGCCATGCATATCGAAGAGTTGGAAAGAAACGGAGGTGCAAGTCTAGAGGATTTGCAGATCCTGAAAGTCGCTTCTTCGCAAATGTATGCGGCTGGCGCAGAGACGGTCCGTACCTTGCTCAATCTCTAGTCCGGAGCTTACGTTGTCTGTAGACGTGGTCCACCATTTTGAACGTCATTGTGCTGTTGCTGCTCAACCCCGAGGTCCAGCATAAGGCGCAGACAGAGCTTGATGGTGTCTTGGGGGGAAGAGGTTGCCCGGCTTTGACGATCGCGAGTCACTTCCCTATCTGGAGGCTGTTCTCCAGGAGTCGATGAGATGGCATCCGACAGCCCCTCTGGGTACGATCAAGTTCCCTCAATAGCCTTGTCAGCGTGATTGAACCATCATTCATGGCAGGCGTGCCTCATTGCACCACCGCAGACGACATCTACTGTGGCATGTACATCCCCAAAGGCACTACTGTTCTCGCCAATAGCACGTGCGCACTATTTCCCTCAGTCGTCAGCCTGCATGTTCTCTGCTGACTGCGATTACCCCTTCGGAAGTGCACTTGCCATGGACGACAAAGTGTACAGCAACCCCACCGAGTTCCGGCCGGAACGCTTCCTTCCGCCCCAATCAGAGCCATTGCCTGTAAACATTTCTTTTGGTTGGGGGCGCAGGTCAGTGCTTTTGTATAGCGTCTAAGCACTGCGATTTGATTATTCGTCAGGATGTGTCCAGGACGACACTTCGCAGATGCCAGCGTCTGGATCGTCATCGCCTCGCTCCTCGCAGTCTTTGAAATTGCCCCAAGGAAGAATAGTATGGGGCAAGACAACATCCCCGACGTGAAGTGGGTCTCCGCGATTACGAGGTTAGTATCCGTTGGACTCCTGAGGTAGGCACTAACGAACGTTTTACCACGGCACGCATTTCCGTCGGACAGTCATCCCGCGCCCTTCCCCTGCATAATCCGCCCGCGAACAGAGGACTCTGCTCGGCTGGTCTCTCGGCTCTGATTATATTCGCCCCACCACCAACCCTGCTCCTATCCAACTATCGTCTCCCACGCCACAAAGCGATCCTTAAGCGCTGGAGTGTGTGTTTTGCTTGAGACCCGAGATCAGGCGTGGGAGCCACTTTGATAGCAATACAGTAAATTTTGTACGGTAATCCGCCCGCGTCGAGACCACTTCTGGCCCGTCTATCGGAATGGGCTGGCAGAACTTAGCTACATCGTAGAAACTAGTACACGTCCCAAGAGCGAAGAATACAACTGTGACCAGGGCATGAAAAGCGTAGAGAAGCGGGTCACTGAATGGGCTGCTGCTTCTCGAGTTCCGCGTCGTCGATGCTCGACGCCTCGCTCGCCAGGTCCTCGCCGACGTCGCCTTCCCAGCCGTTCTCGGCGAGGTAGGCCATGAACTTGCGGTCCTCGTCCGCGAGGTCGACGCCGGTCATGTCGGGCACGAAGAAGTAGGTGATGATGATGCCGGTGACGCCGCAGATAGCGGCGATGATGAACGTCCACTTCTTGCCGAGGTTGTTCTGGATCGGCGTGAACGCCTGCGTGCCGATGGCGGCGCCGGTCTTGCCGACCGCCGCGGACAGGCCGTAGCACGTCCCGCGCACGGCCGTCGCGTACGACTCGGCGGAGACGAGGCCGAGCATGTCGCCCGGGCCCATGTTGCCGAAGGACTGCATGAAACCGTAGCTGTGTGTGCGCGCGGGGTCTGTCAGCGCACGCGCTGCGGGAGGGAAAGAAATAGAGGCGAGGGGGGTCACTCACAATATGACGAAGAGCGGGATGATGTTTGTGATCCTGTCGTAGGCGCATCCGATGATGAGACCGAAGATGAGGTATCCGCTGAAGCCGAGCATCATGGTGTTGCGGCGGCCGAAGCGGTTGCAGAGGAAAGCACCGACAAAGACACCTGGGAGTGCGAGGGTGCCGAGCAGGAGCTGCCACTCGGCAGTGCGCCTGATGCTGTTGTCATGGATGACGCTGCTGATGATCGTGCCCGAGAAGACACCATTCGGGAAGGTGACGAAGTCGTAGAGGAACCAGGCGCCGCAGGTGCCGATGAGAGCATGCCAGTAACGCTTGATGACAAGCCGGTAGGGGACGCGATCTATGAATACAGATCAGCTATCCTCTATGGGGGAAGAGAGTCTAAGAGACTCACGCTTGATGGCACCCTTCTTGTACAGCACAGAGCTGAGCATCTTCAAACGGAAATAGAATACGGTAAGAGGGAGGATAATGCCAATGCCGAAGCAGACACGCCAGACGGTAGGCAAATGGTCCTCGCCCGCAGCGGATAGGACGATGAGGAAGATGGAGACAGCGAGGGGTCCGCCGAAGCTCAGCACAAAGTTTGTGACCATGATGAAGACAGGCCCGCGATTCGCGATCATCTTCTCGTTCGCCGCCTCGCTGGCAGATGTGGAGGATGCGGGATATTCACCACCTACACCCTGAAGAGCTCAGGTCAGGAACGAGCGGCGAAGAAGCAAAATAGTACGTACAATACCAGTGATACCGCGAGCGAAGGTTAGGAACCAGAAGAGTCCCTGAACGCTGCCATTTGCACCATGGGCGGCGGTTCCGAGGATGGCACCGACGACGATGAATAAGGTCGTACCGATCAGAGCAAATTTACGGCCAATACGGTCGCAAATGATACCGACAATAATCTGACCGATGATAGCACCTATAGAACATCCTCAGAAGGTATAACGACAGTACAAAGGAAGGCAGCTTACCGACAAGGAGCGAGTTGGACACGCGGGTCGATACATCCGAGGTATAGGCTGTCGGGTACAGATCTTTGAAGACGACCTGAGCAAGGTATTAGCGTAAGAGTATACTTTTGGCAGATGGGAAATTACACACGTTGGCCATGGTCATGACGCTGTTTTGATCTTGTGATATGAGTGAGTAATTCCCGATTACTGGGATGATGGGTCACACTTACATCCATCACTGGCAGAGCAATCAGCTTGTGAAAGAATACGCACACGGAGCAACAAACTCACCTGATGAGACCGAAGGCGGCAGCAGCGATGGTGAAGTATGCACTGATAGTCTGTTTCTTGCTGAGGACCTGCCGTTCGTGGACGGAGCGACCGTGGTGCCCTCCGGCGTCGAGGGTGTCGAGGACGACTCCCTCCTTCTCGGTCTGGACGTCCTCGAGGGTGTCGTGCGATACCTTGTCTGCGGCCATGGTGGGCTTTAGCGCGTCGGAGCGGGGGAAACGCGGGAAGGGAGGCGACGAAGCACGGGCTCCTCATGGCGCCGCTTGTGCAGTTTATATAGAGGAAGAGTGTGCACCTGCCGGTTCCCAGGTCTGCCCAGCTGCGTCCTTCGAGGAACGAATTCGGCGAAGGAGGACAGATGGGAAATTGAAGAGGAGCGCACGTGCGTGCGATAGTATGAGCGACATGTGGATGCGTATGGATGAGGTGGATGATGGCCCGACATGCCCACGGTCATGGCTGTGCCTCGCCGACGAAGCTGCACAGATCGGGCGCATTCACCGCCCGAGGCCTGACCTCTTCTCGCCTCCAGGCCTTCAAAGCTTCGGAGCGGATAGCAGTACAGTCGCCAAACGTTCAACCGTGCGGCCATGCCTCGTGTGCACGATGCCAGATGGCCGAGTATTCAGAAATGATCCATACACGTGTCGGCGCCCGCTGTACCTGAAAACCGCTTCGTCGTTCGTTGGAGACTAGTCGACTGGGTATTGAGACGGGAAGAAGATATTTGGCGAAATCTCCAATCCCTGAAACGTCAATGGCGCCTAGCCGCAGCCCGTAAAATGGGAGTGATATTTGGTCTCCTCGAACGTTCGAGACAGGAATAGCTCGTGCCAAGGTGTATGAGACGAGCTAGAGAGGTTGTGGAGGGCTGTGGTGATTGTTGCCACTCGGGGCGGACTTTGGCTCAGAGCTCTGGACCAAGGCAGCTAGCGCACATTCTGATGCGCCTGATGCGCCCGATGTGCCATCACGAAGCAGATATTCGAAGAGCGCGTGCACACTGCACACGACCGGTCATGCATGATGCACGCGACATCTCACAAGTCCAGACCCGAACAGGTTGCCCAAGAAACGACAGACGTTATAGCCATCGCGTGCTAGGCAGGCTGTGCAATTCCTGGTTTGTCAGGATGTTCTCCGGCTTTGACAGCTGAGCGATGCCAACAGGACGCGCGCTGGTTTGCGTGCTGCACACCGTAGATATCGGGACCACGGGTGACATCCTTCTCGCGAAACTAAGTAGGAGATGGCTCACGCAGCTCGAATACCACGCTGCTGACCTCTCTATGAACAGCGTGCGGGGAGCCCATAGGCCAGGCCTCGCCCATGGATAACCTTGCCAACGGCATAGCATGCAGGCGCGGTGCAAACACGACACCGACAGACGGCGTTGATCGGTACTAGATGATGTCTCTCCTAGCGGCCTTCTGCCAGGGCACAGAGCTAGATGTGCAGGGCCGTTGTAGTCATCACGGCCACCAGGGGAGACGGAATGAAGCGAGTGTCAGATGATATGTAGCTGCGTGGTGATATTGAATAAACGAGGGACTTACGATCGTGGCAAAGCCCAGAGTTTCGCAATAGACGCCAGAAGGTTCAACAGCGTCCGCCGACTCGCAGTGACCAGTAACCAGCTCATTCTTTCCACCCATCTCTCCTTCTCCGTCCTCGCCTCCTTTTCGTCGTACGCATCTCATCTCTCTACACGGCTCTGGAAAGCCCGTGCCTCGACGACAGCGACGACCGCCTACACCATCTGCTCTAGGCCCACGAACTTGACGAAGTCACCACGACATAGTATAGCGACCTAGCCTACCATTACAGTTTCCCCTCACCAGGTCACAGGCACCATCACTTTTCCAGAGAGCCATAGTTTATCACGAGCGTGAACTTGCCTGACTGTCCATGACCGCGCTCTCCTCCAATGCCATGGCACAGAACATCCCCGACCCCGCCGTGCTGACCGAAAATCGCTTTTGCCCTGGGTGCAAACAGTCAGTGGTAACAGAGAACGGCGGTGTAGTAGTTGCCTTCGGGTACGTATTCGTGCACTCTAGGTCAACGTGAAAAGTCGTAATGTGAACACGCCGCAGTCAATCATACTTCCATATCGACTGCTTCAGGTGTGCAAAGTGTCACGAACAAGTCACCGCCGACACAAACCTCCTGCTGCTCTCCGATGGTTCCCCCGTATGCGCCAACTGCTCGTACTGCTGTAACGTCTGCGGGCAGCCCATCCTCGACGAAGCGATCATGACCGGCGACGATTCGTATCACGCGCACTGTTTCAACTGCAAGGTCTGTAAGAAGCGTATAGAGGAGCTCGTGTTTGCGAAGACGAGTCAGGGTATATACTGTATGCCGTGTCACAGCGAGCGGGTGGCGAGGAGCAGGCGACATCTGGAAAGAAAAGAGCGGGAGAGAAGGGAGAGGGAGAAGCAGGCTCAAGCTGAGGCTGCCGCCGCCTACGATGCTATCACAAACAGTGATGCTGTGAGTTCAGAGGCGGTCCAACAGCTCATTACACCTCTGACGAAGATTCTCACAGGAGCCGAACGCGTCCTCAAAGGCCAGTACCCCCTCCGCTGCGCCATCGTCTGCATCGCGATCGGGCACACCCCGTATGTCAGAGTTTGCCACTAATCACGTCCCATCGGCATCGAAGCCCGCAGAGACAGTGCAACCATCTCAAAGCCCTCGACAGCAGCATTTCGCCTCACTTGCCCCACCAGCATCTTCCGGCACCGCCCCACCTGGCACGTCGTCGACTGCGCACGGCCCTCCTTATAGAACGGCGGCGTTGCAGAATGGCTTACCCTCTGCACCCAACCAGTACACCCAACAATACCGCGAACGTGAACGCGAAGGAACCGCAACGCCTGACAATATGCGCTCGACTCCCCTCCCCCCGACTAACAGTGACACGCTCGCTGTACCATCTGATGGGCTGCAGCAAACGCTGCAGAAACGTCGAAGCTTTGATCATCGACTAGCAGGCGCCGTTACCAGCGAAAATGGGGGAACAGAGTCTGCCTCAGGCGCGCCGAGTCTGCCTGGGCTTCTCTCTGCCGACGGCCCAACGCCTCGCAAAGCGAAGCGGCAGTCGATTAACCCGAACCTCGTGATGTCTTTCAATAACCTTCCGCAGGGCCCAAGCCCACCGTCGACTTCTCCATCGACCCCGCACGCACCACACATGAATGACAAGCCGCGCTCGCCAATGCACGAGCAGTTCTTGAGCGAGATGCCTGCATCTCCGCCCGCGTTCACACAGGCGGACAGCCGGCAGTCACCTTTGATACCCCGCAGTCAGCTCGATGCTTCTGACAACATACACGACAAGCAGTACACGGGCCGGACCCGTTCCGCGTCGAGCAGCGAGACCCAGCGCATGGCCCAGCAGAGCGACATGCTGCAGCGCGAGCGTTCGAAGTCGCCAATGCGCTTCAGCGTTACGCTTGACCGTGTCCCGGCGCGCACGAGCAGCCGGCCGGACCTCCGTAGCGACACTGCACCGCCGAGCTTTGCGAGCGAGACCGGTCGGCGCACGCCGCAGCTCACGACCGAGGGGCGCGTGTCCCCGCTGACAAAGCAGCTATCACTCGATAACAGACATCGCAACAGCACTTCCTCGCTCGGGCAGACAATTGAGCTGCCACCGCACTCGGGCAGCGCGTCGCACCCCACGTCGCCAGCACACGAGGTTGATGTCCCGCACAGTGTTGAGAGCGGAACCGACACCGAGGCTGAGACTGAGGAGGAGTTCCACGCCCATGGTGACTCGGATCGTGACATCCTCACGCCACTGCCCCCACCGAAAGAGGCCAAGGGCTCAAAAGCTGGGATGCGGCCGCCGCAACTGGAGCTCGCATCCTCGCACGCGTCTGACGAGCACGACGAACCCGACGAGCTGGGCCAGGTCGACAGTGCGGACGTGTCCGAGGAGTACCTGCACGACGAGATGCCAGTCGAGAGCACCTCCCATTCGACGTTCATCGCGCCTGCACTGCCCCCAATACGCTTCAGCATGGGCGGCGCCGACTTCGCAGAGCTGCTCAAGTCCGTGGGCGGCCCCGACGGCCTGAAAGCGTTCGACAAGCTCACGGAGGACCAGGTTCCGGCTACCCCACCCCCCTCGGCAGCGCAGCCTTTCACGCCCACGAGCGCGAAGGACCTCAGCGCGGACGCGACGCCCGTCAGGCGGCGTGAGCCGCCGATCAGCCGGAGCCAGTCCCCGCACTCGATCGCGGTGAGCTCGCCGTCCGAGGCGGGGCTGCGCCCGCCGATGCAGCGGTCGCAGTCGTCGGAGCCGCACGACGGCCGCGCGGTGCCGCGCCCACCGCGGTACGATGACCAGACGGTGTACAAGCGCGAGCGCGTCGGCTCGAACGCGTCGCTCCCGCCGAACGGCAAGGCGATCATCACGCTCACGACGCCCGAGAACACGACGTCGAGCATCGGGCGGCCGGACACGGCCGACCTCGTCCGCCGGCGACTGCAGGAGGCACTGAACGAGACGACAGAGCGCGGCGCGGCGTACGTGAAGCTCGACCCGGAGTTCATCGGCGCCATCGTGATGCTTCTGAACCAGCGCCAGGAGGAGTTCGTGGACATGAAGCGGAGGCTGGATGGCATGAAGGTGAGGGGGAACTGCTTGGGGGATCGGGCCTGTTGCGCGTGCTGACCGTGTTTTGGTGCAGCGTGCGAGCCAGCAATACGTCGAGGGTTTGACGGTTGCGCAGACGGAGTACGACAGGGAGCTCAAGGCGAGGCGAGATGCCGAAGCAGAGGTAACGCGCCTCCGGGTCCTGCTCTCCAGCCAGGCTGTTCGCCTCAAAGCTATGTCCGGCGATACCAAGAAGCAGGAGGTGCAGAAGCAGCTTTCTCAGGAGCTGACAGAGAGTCTGTCGACACTAGAGCGTGATTTGTCCAAGCTCAAGGCCGAACGAGACATGACATTGGCGGAGGTTGAGGAGTTGTCGGCATCAAAGAGGTACGGAGGGGTTGATTCCCCAGACATTTGTACACGCTTGCTCACTTTGTACCCCTCAGTTCTAACAGCCTCTCGGACGACCCCGATGCGACTGTGCGCCTCAGCAAGGCACTGTCTGTCCGGTTCGATAACATCAAGAATCAGTATCAAAGCGACCTGCTTCCGCTCACCGCTCAACGAGAGGCTTTGCTCAGGGAGATCACCGAGATGCGGGCATCGCGCGACGCATACCTCGAGGAGACGACGATGCTCAGCGCTCGCAACGAGGAGCTCGCACAGCTGTACGCTCAGTACCTCCGGCGGATGGACGCCCAGGGCGAAGGCATGATCGAACCCAGTGGACGCGCCTCCTCCTCCCTCGACAAGGCACGCCCACAGGGCCTGACCCCGTCGCTTACGTCAGGCACAACCCTCTCGGAGGAGTCTGTCGACCAGCGGTACGTCAAGGTCATGAAGTCGGACGCGGCTGAGGTGCCGACGCCTCAGCCGAGAGGCAAGTTCAAGTGGCCCGGGTATCGCAACCAGCAGGCGAAGGAGCACGCGACGCACATGTCCGAGTCTGGAAGGGCGAAGCCCAGGATTGAGCACAGCTTCCAGCAGGTCAATGGCTTGCGCGTCGCGCGGTGCGACAACTGTGGAGACAAGATGTGGGGTTCTATCCTGCGGTGTGGAGGTGAGTGTTTGGGGGTAATGAAGGATACCCGTGCTCAACAGTGTCATCTCACAGCTTGCAACATCTCCGTGCATCATCGTTGCCTGCAGCTGGTCCACTTGCCGTGTTCACAGCAAGTCATGAACGGCAAGGAAGAGCGTATTATGCCGCTACCGGCAGGTCCATCTATGTTTGGGCGCGACCTTACAGAGCAAGTCCGCGCGGAATCGAAGGACGAGGAGCGTCTTATCCCTGTCATCGTGGAGAAATGTATCGACGCTGTGGATACTCTTGGTAAGAGCTGCTCGTTGATCTTCGCAGCAGCACATGATCTGACCTTTTGGCGTATAGCTCTCGATTATGAGGGCATCTACCGTAAGACTGGCGGCTCCGGTCAATCGAAGACCATCACGCAGCTCTTTGAGCGCGGGGATTACGCTTCGTTCGACCTGCGGGACAACGACCGCTTCAACGACATTTCCAGTGTCACATCGGTGCTGAAGACGTACTTCCGGTCACTGCCCGACCCGTTGTTGACATACAACCTCCATGACCAGTTCATCTACGCCTCGAGCATCAAGGATCCTGCGCAGAAGAGCCAGGTGCTCACAGAACTAGTGTCTGAGCTGCCAAGAGAGCACTACTATACGACAAGAGCGCTCATGCTCCACCTTCACCGGTAAGTCTTGTGCCAAGAGACGTGAAGTTGCCGTACCAATACAAACATCATATAGCATTGCTGAGCGGAGCGATAAGAACTTTATGCACGCGAGAAACCTTGGTGTTGTCTTTGGACGTACGTGCCTTGCCACCGTTTAGTACATGACGGACGCTGATGCTGTGCATGTAGCGACATTGATGCGCTCTCGCGACCCGAATGCCGAGTTCAGCGACATGGCTGGCAAAGCCCTGTCCGTTGAATGGCTCGTCGAAAATGCACCCGTAGTCTTCGAGCAAAACGCCACTGACTCGCCATAGCCTACAAGAGACTTGTTTATCAATCACTTATAATATTCCCGAGGGTGACATTCCGGTCGTAGCCCTTCCCGCCGCAGCTGAACACAACCTTCTCCTTCTACATCTGTATGTTTTCGTGTTCAGTAACACTTTCCTTTCTTGCACTGTCATTTTCGCTTTCATCGCGCATTCATGACTTGTGTCACCGTTCGTTTCAACTTTCTGGTGAAATGTGGTTCTTCTCAGCTGTTGTTCTCTCTCTTCCCGCTTTCTTTCTTCCAAACACCAGCCCTGGTCATTTGCTTAACGCTTAAACGCAACAGTCTTAGGAGTCAGTATGTACTCACAGCTATCCCTTTTCCTGATGGTCAGCACTTATACCCGGGGCTAGCTGGTGTGCGGTGTCCCCTCGTTGAATATGTATATCATCATATATTCGGTACATTATACGCAGTACATCTTGCATTGGGTCCTCAATTATAGGTGTATCTATCTCTGCCAGCCATCTACCCTGTCCGGCTCCTCTGCTCTTAACGGATCGTCCTATCCTCCGAACGCTTCGGCTTGGCCAGGTTCTCCACCTTGAGCGTACAGTAGAGGAAGTGCCGGCGTGGACCGGTCGTTGCGCCTGCGACCGCCGCGACGCGCGCGCCGAGAGGCTGAGTATCTATCCCGCTGCCACGCAACCCTAGTGAGAACATCCTGTCGAAGACTAGTAACTGTGTCAGCATCTGCCAAGATCAGGGTGTAGGGCTCTTACGTGTAGCAGTGAAGGCCTTGGCAGTGGTCTGACAAGCGAGGTGGGTCAGCGAAAGTGGGGGCGACACAGCCTCCAGTGTACGCAGGTATCGGAACACGATGGACGGCTGACATGGGCCTGGCAACGTGTGTTGTGAGACGAGGTAGCAAAAGTCGTGTCTCGCTTGATGACTCACCAAAGCGGAACACTGCTTGGTATGCTTGTCTCCACTTCTCCTCAAGAAGTCTTGCACAAGTCGGAGAATCGGGACAGGTAGAACACTGAAGATGATGAGTAATGGCGGTGCATATGATCAATAAGTAGAACCATTCTTACGCATTGGTATTCCTTGGCAACTTGAGTAAGGCCCAGCTTGAGAACGCGTTCGAGAAACCACGTCCGTCTGCGAGCGTCGGTTAGCGCTAGCGACATGAGTATATGCGCATATCTGCACCTTTTCTCCAGTTTAAGCAGAGTCTCCGAACTGAGGGTGCTCAGTTCTTCCTCGGCCCAGCCTCCAGGGTTGTCTAAGACGAAGCGACTGGCCTCGCGATAGAGCTCCTCCTCTTCAAAGAGCTCTGCTATTCGCATAGCTTTGATGGGCTTGCCTGCAGCGTGCGTGAGAAGGAAAGTCAGGCATTCGCGTTGTAGCGCTGGAACTGTCAGCTTGTGTGAGATATTGAAGAGGCCTTCGACATTATTCCAGGTTATGGTGCAAACGAGGCTGAAAAGTGGAAATGTTAGTAGATCGTAATAGTACGATGGAATGTTGACCGACTGTGGATAGACGTATTTTAAGAAGTCATGGAATGTGCTGGCCTAGATGGCAAACCGCAGCTCAAATAATAGGAAAACAGCTATCCGCCCTAGGACTCACTTTCTCTTCCTTGAGCACGATCACTGCATCAAGTCCCTTGTGACGAGTCCTGTGCTTCATGGATGGCCCGGAGACACCAAGTGCACGTCCCTTTCCTTCGTCAAACGATACAGAGGTGGGGCTCTGAAGTTTGTTCAGACTCTCCAGGCGCGCCTTTTCTTTCTCCTGCTCATCCGTTGAATCCTCCTCCTCCTCGCTGTCGCTTGCTTTCGTATCCGACTCGGCTCCATCGTTCTCTAATTCTGGTTCGACTTGCACAAGAGTAGCCTCGGAAGTCTGCGGCGGTAACGACGAGTTGCTCTTGGGGACGGAGGGCGGCTGCGAGATCGTGATGACAGAAGACATGGACTGCGGTCGACCCGTCTCTGCCCAGTCTCCGCTGAGCGCGGCCTCAAAGAACGGCGAGGCAAAAAAGAGCACCTCCTTGTGGGCCCTGCAAAGGAGATACATACAGCAGCGTTCAATGAGCTGAGCACACGTCGCAGACAGCGCAGTGCGCGCGGAAGGCAGCGACAGACTGACCAGAACGTTGTGCTCTCGACCACGATCTTGACGTTCCCCGGCAGCTTCATGTTCTTCGTGAACGTCGGGTCGATGTCGATCGCGTCCTCGAATTCGTCCATGCTCAGCTCGGACACCGAACCGTCGGTCTCGCAGCCCTCGGATGACCAGGGAGGCGAGCCCGCCGAGCGGAATACGCCCGCGGCGGCAGCATGAGTCTCCGTGGGCGAGCTCAGCGTCGCTGACGGTCCGCTGAGGCCACGGGAGTTTCGCGCGATAAGGATATGTGACGGGTTAGGCATTAGTTGGTAGTTCAGAGACAAGCAACTGCTAGTGGTGGCGGTGCTACGGGGTCCTGCACGGGTCAGTGGACTCTGATTAAGTTCCCACCGGCAATCATCGCTTTCACACGACGTCCGTTGGCCAATGAGAGCACACCAAGCTAGAGCCGGCAACCCAATCCAGAACAAGTCTCGTGAGACATTTATCAGAACGGTCGCAAAAATGAAAAAGCCAGCTCGGTAACCACGAGCACCGATCCGCGAGCACGCCAGGATCTGAAGAAACGACAAAAACAAGATGCAATCATTCAATGTATCTACTTCCCGTCATCGGTAGTCATAGCAAATGGCATGAGGGCTGTGCGAAAGATCTTCCCACAAAACCAACGTTCAGCTATCATAAGATTCGTGAATAAAGCTTGAGAAAAATAAGATATGAATATATGGTGCCGCATGTGTGACATGGCGAAGGACAAACAACAGAAGAGGGAGACAAACAGAAGATGAACACAGGGTATGGATCGGCAAGAGTCTTCACGCAAAAGGCCCTCAAGATGGTACCTGACGGAAAGCTTTTTGGTAAGTAGACGGAGCATGCACGGTTGTATCGTGAGTGGGTGAAGGAGTGTGTGGTAGGCGCAACACGACGCTGCACCGACGTTGGATAATGGAAGGGGAATGCAAGACGAACGGAACGGGATTGTCCGAAGGGAAACACAGCAACTTGAATAGAGGTTGCAAGGGGACGACGATTAGCAATTGGACGCGATGCGAGGGGTATATGGAAGTTGGGTTGAGAGTGACAGATGGAAGGGTCGAAGGATGTGAGACCAGGAGCTCCTAGTATGCACAGCAGGCGCCTCAAGAAAAGGGCGAGTAACCGTGAAGATGCAAGGATAGGATAGACGAGACAGGCGGGAATGCGCCACAAGAACGATGGTATGGTATAGACGAATCAGCAGTCCGTGAGCGAGATCCGGACAATGTAGGGGTAGCAGACTCTATAGTCCTCCATCAAGGACTTATTGCTCCGTCAAGGACACCGCGCACATCATCTACTTGCCCAAGATCAGCAAGGAAGGGGACCAGGTCAGTGAGCTCCGTATCGTGGGGGTCGTTGAACCATGATGATACGGGAACGGCGTTATTGGGATGGAAGATATAGGATGCTGGTGAGTTGTCTATGATTATAGTGTCCGCTATTGGCCGTCCGAGCTGCGATAAGTCCTATCAACTCACGTTGTTAGCAAGCGCAGCATACGGAACATGAGATTGAAACGCACCTTGACGTAATTGCCCCTATGGTTGTAGCAGCTTTCTCGGAAGAGACGGTGCGCGACAACACGGTTCACATCCAATTTGTCCAACACTGGATCTGCGTACTGCGCGATAGAAATCAGCAGCGGTCAGACCGATCGAACGTGCGCTCGTATACCTTGCTCAAACTCGCAGTGAACACGACGACTTCATAAATCTCGCCCATCTTCTTCAGGAAGTTATCTACACCGGGACGCTTGATCACATAGACATTGTGCCAATGATACTCGATTTCCACCGGCACGACGTAGTCCGCTTGCTGTATTGACTGGTTGTCGGAGATAAGACGTTGCGGAACGTATACATAACGGGAGATAATGCTCACCTTGAAACTACTGTGCACCAACGTCTCATCCAAATCAAGCACAAGGCATTTCCTCCCCGCAAACTTAGGCGATAGTGGTGGGAGTAGCGGCCGAGGAAGTCCGTCCTGGCAAAACCAACATGTATGTTAGCGCTGAGCAACGTCACCCCCGGAGAGATATACGCACTGGTCCTATGGGAATACCAGCGCCGCCGTTAAGGATCAGTCGTTCCTCCTCATCTTCGACCTCATCCATAGCGTTGGCCTCTTCGACGTCCTCCTCGTCGGTGAAACTCGTTGAGCCATCGGACTCATGATCGGAATCCCCCTGTCGTTGCTGCTCTTGTGCGGTCTCGTCGCCCGTCGAGCCAATGGGTTGCACCGACCCGGACAGCACGCCTCCACCCTCCTCTGGGGGTAGCAGCAACTTGGTTGGTGTCGGCGGCACGACGACCGAGGGGTCGTCTGATGGAGGGGGTACGTCAACCGGTTGCAATGGGGGTAGTACTGGCGTACCGCGCGTCTCTTCCTGTTCAGACGGTTTAGCAGCTACCTCAGACGTAGCAGGGGCCTCTGAGGTGGATGGTTCAGGAGGCAGCTCCTCTGCTTCCTTTGCGGTCTGCTTCTCCTTAAGCTCGGTCGTCGCGGGGACTGAGGGTTCAGGCTGGCGAGGCTTCTCGACGTCGACATCAATCTCGTGTGCCTTACTCGACGGTTTGGTACAAGGAACAAAGACGTGGAAAATCCTGGTAAAGAGGGAACCCTTCGTCTTGCTGCCTTTGGGCTTGGTCTTCTTGGACGAGGTCTTGGATTTCTTGGGTTCCTCAACAGCAGTCGAGGCAGTGTGCGCCAGCTCTGACACAGACTTGGTCTCTTTCTGTCGCGTAGACGGACTACGAGCGTAGGTCTGCGTACTTGTGTTCAACGACGCACGGTCCTTCTCAGCGTCTTTGGGTTTCGCTATTTCATCCGCCTTTCCTCCTTGTTTCAATGCCGGCGTTGAGCCGGATACATCTGCTACTGTATTGTCAACCTCAGCGGCGACCTGCGCTGTCTGGGCCGATGTGGACGGGGCGGAGCCCGCATGGGCGGTGGTGGCTGGCTGATCACCCGACGCGCTCACGGCGCCATTCGGAGTCTCTTCGCAGGTCTGCTGGGTGATGACTGAACCTTGAATCGCTTGAGTGGTATCATTTTGAGTGCCTTGAGCCCCTGCGGGCTGCGTAACCGTCACCGCCGCCTCTGGTTCCGTTCCCTTCGAATCCTGTGCGCAGTTCGCTCGACTTGTTAAAATCCCGTATCATGCGGAGATGTAAGAGGAGTGCTTGCCTGCTCCTTCGTACTCGCTGGTGCAGAGTCTATGGACGCCATGAGTATGGCACTTGCAGAGAGTGGAAGGGTATAAAGTGCAAGCTCGTTCGCCTCTGCCAACTCGACGTCGCCCAAGCGTGCCCCGCCTGTTTGCACGTGTTGTCGTGCGAACTTTGCATGCCGATTCAGGAAATCACGCCTGTCACGACCGGAGACTCTTGCCGCCGTGACATAGCCTGATTGACGCCACACGCGGGATGCCCAGCTCGGCGGGCGACGGTGGCTCAGACGTTGCGAGCGGCGTACCAATCATCTGAGACGTCAAAATCAATGCGCACTCTGTGACGGCGACGAGCACAGATAAAGATCGGACCTGATCGGAAGAATGAGACATAGGAAAAACATGTGGGAACTATCGCGCCGCGATCCTCCGGTGAAACTGAAATGTCTGAGACAAGTCATGGGTGTGAGAGGTTGGAGCATATCGAGCATTGCCTTGTATTCCTGCGGAAGCTACACCAGGAAGGCGTGCACATCTCCGTATACAGTCACTTCTGCATACGTACGGCTTGTGAACAAATGACTGGCGGGAAACTGAGTCGGTCCTGGTCAGCAAATAGAATAACATGCGGCCCACTGCTGCTTGGCACATATCGTGTAAGCCTTAACGGCAGAAGACACAGATACGTACCTCAGATGAGGTAAGCAAAGTTAGCGAGCAGAGCACCGCACAGATTAGCAGTGTGCGCCACGAATAGCTCGCAATAGAATTCCCAAAGACGCGACACAGCAGGATATGAGCGTGACCTGAATGCATACGGTCCAAGGCGGGCATAGCAAGCAGTTTAAGGGCCAGGCGAGCTGATCATTGTCCGACAACTCCCAGAGCCGCCGAGGGCGGGTAATGACTACGGCGGCTCTGGGTAATGACTAACCAAAACCTGGCCGACCATTGGCCAACGGCCAAAGTGACAACCGGCAGCCGCAGAGTAAGCACACGTACGGTGTGATCATGTAAGCGTAGCGCTGCACCTTGTGGCGTACGGCAGCGAGCGATGATGCATCTGGTCGAAGCTCGCGAGGCTGCATTTCCGGGACTTGAGAGGCTGCGGAGGGACGCGTCCTCGCATCGGCCCTGGAAACCATCAAGCGTCCACCCAGCTGAGGTGATCGCTGTTAGCAAAGCAGCGAGCTGTGCGTACTAGAATACCTACCGAACGACGCACGCCTTGTACAATGAACGGCATTATACGAGCTTGAATGATTGAATCGCAGGAGATCGCAGGCAAGTTAACCTAGGTTCTATTGTGCCGTCGGGCGAAATGGACACGCCAGCCACTAGGCCGACAGCGGACCATATGGGGGAGACCGAACGTAATCTTCCATGGAATGGGTTGCGTACCAAGAGATTTGTCAGCACTGACCCAGGCACGCCCCGAGAGGCAGAACCTAAGTAATCCCGGAAGACAGGCCAGGGCCTCAGAGCGCGTGTCCATATATACCATGCCCCGGACGGAGATGTGCTGATGTACATATTGCCCACCGACACCCCCGATCTCGTGCGATATTCCACTGGCATACCTCGACGTGCTGGGCGTTGGATGGATATATACCAACTCATCCATCCGACAGAGGCTACGATCAAGACAGAAGAGCTGCACGTAATGGAGGAGCTAGACAAGAGATTCTGGGAGAGAGGTGAGTACACAAATGCCTTTGACCCACCTCCCTTTCTTCGTCGCGTCCGCCTGCGGCAGAGCGAGGGTCGGCGAAGCCGCAGTGCGAGTCGGTTGACCGTGGCCGAGCGTGCCAGTCAGGGCCGCCGAGGACCGGGGCCCGGGTAATGCCGTGCCATTATTGCCGGTGGAGGGCCGGCTCCGGGGCGCTTACGTTCGAACTCCGCCCTCTTAGTAAGACTCTGTTGAGTTTTGTTCGATTCACGCTCTTTTCCATGCTCGCAGCATCTTCATACCATCAACAGCAACCAGCGTCACAGCAGAATGCGTCCCAAACTGTTGCACCGCCCTCAACGGTGAATCCCTCGGACACATCGTTGTCTCAGCCATCGTCCCAACAGCACCAGCAACACCCCGGAGGTCCCTTCCAAACCATCCTTCGACTACACGATGAGCTTCCTTCCGGCGCACAGACCGCCCCTAAGGCGTCGCGCAAGCGAAAAACGCCGCCAACAACTCAGGAAGCACAGCCCCCGCCACCTCCAGCTGGCATGCACCCTCTACCCTCAGGTGTGATGCCGCCGCCGCCGCCGCACTCCTTGATGCACCCTCCGCACCTGGGTCCGCCTCCAGGGATGCCGTACACGTACATACCTCATGGCGATTACACTCCTGGAGGCATGTCGCATCCCCCACCACCCCCGCCACCACCAACCGGTGCACCACCCTCCGAACAGAATCCTCAGCAGCTGCCGCCCTTGCCGCCTAATAGACAGCTGAGCACAAGTAAGCGAGCAGAACAGAATCGGAAGGCACAGCGCGCTTTCAGGGAAAGGAGGGACCAGTAAGCACTCACGTCATGTGTTTCGCGTGTCCGGGTTTTCTGACCGCATTGCAGACACGTGAAGGCATTGGAGTCGCGATCACAGCTTCTCGACGCTGCACTCGCGTCGGCAGACGAGGCGAATCGGAGATGGGAAGACTGTCGGCAGCTTGTAGACCAGTTACGCATTGAGAACTCCGCGCTGCGTGCTGCCCTCGCTCAAGCACAGATGATGAACCCGGGCTCTGTGCCCCCACCCCCGCCCGTGCTCCCCGATCAACAGCCTCCACCCACACGACCCAACGAGTCTTTGGCGCCGCAACCGCCGCAACCACAGTCTACCAATAATGGAGGCGAGGAGGGTGCCAAAGAGGACTCGAGTACTTCGAAACCGTCGTGATAATCATTCGCGTTGTGTTGCTTGCCCTTTCCCCGGTCGGCACGTTGAGAGGTACTATTCGGTGGAGGGGTAGTCGGGATGTTTATACTGTAATATGCGTGTTCAACGTTCCAACTTTCGCCTGCAGACATTTTGTAGTTTTACCATACGTCTTTATGATCATGACTTCGCATTTTGATTGCACATTTCTATTGTCGTATGGTCCCAGCTTTAATGAGATCTGAACATTAATCCGGTGTATCTGTTCGCTAAACATGGCATCTGTGGGGAGAATACGTGGAGGATCCCGCGAGGCGAGATGGGGGTTGGTGGGCATCAACCTTTGGGGTGTTCGCACCGCGGACGCTCTTTCTCCGGCAAATTTGTGTTCTCCTGAACGCCCACCACTCATTACGCTCTCCCGAACACATTCTGCAGCGCAACCATTGAAGAATGGCAAAGATAGAGGAGTGGGTGTCTCCCAAGCCCGAGCCGGCACGTGGCCCTAAAGGTGCGTCGTACATGCCACGACGGTAGACGCGCCGCACTGACCACGTCTACACACACTTCCGTCGTCCGGCACAGGCCCGTCTCCGTTCCTGAAGGCCTACCTCGTCGCCTACAACCTCGTCAACGCTGCGGGCTGGCTGTACGTGTTCGTCGGCGCCGTCGCGCACCTCGCCGGCAACGGCGGTGCGCCAACGGGAGCATCAGCCAGATTCGCGTCGCTGTTTGCGCAGGCGCATGCACTCGAGCAGTACGTGCCGGCATCGCTCGTGCCGTTGCTCAGGCGTGCGGCGACAACACACAGCGCCGTCGGAACGCGCACGATAGTCATTCAGACGCTCGCGATCCTCGATGTCGTGCACTCGCTCCTCGGCTGGGTGCGCAGCCCGCTCGTCACGGTCGCGATGCAGATCGCGAGCCGGCTCTTCATCGTGTGGGGCATCGGCTACTTCTTCCCGAACGTGCGTGCTTCTCCGTCTCGCCCCGCCCGGTTCACGTGCTGACATGGCCGTTACAGACGTATACACATCCGGCATACGCAAGCATGGTCCTCTCGTGGTCATTCACTGAGGTCCTCCGCTCCGTGTTTTACGCATGCAACCTCCTCGGGAGCGAGCCGTACCCGCTGCTCTGGCTGCGCTACACGACGTTCTACCTCCTCTACCCGACCGGCGCGTCCTCCGAGGCGGCGCTCATCTTCAGCACGCTCCCCCCGCTCTCGACCTTGTCGTCCTGGGGCTTCATGGACTACTGCCGCGGCGCGATGTTCTGCATCTGGTGGCCTTGTGAGTGTGCTTGTGCCCTCCATGTGTGCTACGGTTTTGCTCATGGCCTCAAAAGCATTGTATGTCCTGTACACGCATATGATCAAACAGCGCCGGCGCGTCCTCGGCGTCGGACCCGGGCGCACGCTCGGTTCCAAGCCGAAATCACTCTAGAAAACCTAGCCGAGGGCACCCTAGAAAACCCCCCTGCTCGGCCCCGTGCTTGCACACTGCTATCTCACATCGACATGTTGTTCTGCTCGCACCATGTACTGCGCCTAATCGATGCATTGTCGAATGTTCTGCTCAACGGCTTTTCCATCAATATCAGTTCAAAAGGGTATCACATTGCTGGGTATATGCGCTGCTAACGATTGTTGATGCTCGGAGCCAGCCCGAGCCGCGAGCCTGCGTAGTCGAAGGTGACGTACCACGACTTGAGGAAGACGTCCCCGATGATGGCCAGGTTGGCGGGCAATCCGTAGTCTGAGCTGATGCCGATGATCCCACCTACGCAATCACTGAATCGAGCACACCAACGCCATGAGCTGTTGTAGTATCCGAACCGAGCAAAGGCGGGTACGCACTCCGAATCGTCGCTGAGCTTGCCCAAGTTCATGTCGTCCTGGTGTATCATGTACGGCCGGCCAGAGAAGACGAGGGAGCTTGTCACAGGACTTGCGCACGGGTAGGTGTAGAATCCGCCACCGTACGTCGCGCTTGCATCTTGTGCACCAGGAATCTGTATACGTTAGGTAAGTGCTTTCTAGTTGGGAGAGACGTCGTTAAAGAACCAACTAGTCCATAGAACTGTCTGGCTACGTCATCGGAAACAAGGATGAGCGAGGAACCGGTGTCGACTGCCTGTGTACCCCGATCAACGTCCAGATATTAGAGTACTGGGAGGAGACGCACCGCAATGATGCTCAGAGGCTCCGTGCGGTTCTTACCTGCAGCGAGACCGTCCATCGCCACAGTCCAATAGGTCTGAAAACAGGCTACTTCAACCATCTTCAATTTCCTCTCATCACCCATGGACAAACCTTGCTTGTCAGGTTCAGCCACTCGACCGGGCCCGTCGTCTTCGTCAGGTCGTAGCACCCGAAGCAGATCTGGCTCCCGTCCTCGGCGCCGCGCGTGAGGTGCGTGCTGAAGATGCCCGCGGCGAGCTTGCGGCCCGCGAGGAGGCCCTCGAAGAAGGTCGGCGCGTCCATGCGGCTGATGCTCCGGAACGCGAGCCCGAGCAGGCCGCTCGACGGGTAGTCCATGAAGTCCTGCGACTCGGTGCGCACCGCGACGAAGCGCTGCGCGTCGACGCTCAGCGCGCCGAGCGCGACGGTGTCGCTCGCGACCGTCCCCGCGACGCGGCCCGCGCCCTGCCACACAAGCCCCAATCGTCAGCAGTTCTCGTCGATGGCGCAGAGGAGCGCGCGGATGGGGGAGGAAGACGTACGTAGGTGACGCTCGCGCGCCGGCCCGTGCTGCGGAACGTCGAGCTCGCGGCGGCGTCGAACTGCGCGTTCGAGCAGCCCGGACACGCGACGGGCACCCAGAGGTCTGCGCTGCCCGTGTCGACCGAGACCGTGAGGGCCTGCGCGGGCGTGCCGAACTTGAGCGGCCCGTAGTACGACACGTCCATCCCGCCCGCGACGTCGTCCGTGAGCGGCATGAGCTCGAAGCTTGCGTACGGCTCGTCGGGCAGCCCCAGGATCGGCTCCGCGCCCGCCGCTGCTCCGCCGCCGCCGTCGCGCGCGGAGAGTGGCTGCGGCTGCGTGAGGAGCGAGGACGGCTTCGAGGCGTTGGCGAAGTACTGGAGGATCGGGGTGTCGTTGAAGGGGCCGTACCCGGTGTCGGGCTGTGTGTCGGGGTTGAGGCTGATGCCGTTCAGGAAGTCGGAGGCCATGGAGTATTTGCCGAGGAGGCCCTGGACTTCCATGTGCTGCGCGACACCCCGTCAGCTGGCAGAAGGTACAAGTCAAGGAGGCTTACCACCAAGGGAGCGTCAAAGACCGGCTGAGTACCGTTCTGCAGCTTCACAGTGGTACTCTGTCTACGCACGGCGAAGCTGTTCCTACGGAGGTTAGCGATGACATGCCTCTTGTCGCGCCCAGGCTCGCCTAGTGGATGCGCGTTCGATCCAATAGCAAGGATGGAAGAAAAAAGAGCGACATGAAGGTTCATCATGGGGAGTAGAGGTGGTGCACCAGGCACAATCGGGTAGGAACAGGATGGAGTAGAGGGTGATGCACCGATTTGTGGCGGTTTGAGTCCTGCAACTGACTGGAGGCGGGCTGACGGTCAGCCTAGATCAAGTTGCGGCAAGCGACAGCCGCTCTCTTTAGGAGTGGGAGGGCGGGAGCACATGAAACTTTGACTGTAGACCGGGAGGTGCACTGGCTACTTCTGCAACTTGATCGGCGACTGTGCTGAAGTGTGGCTCCCTCGGGCTGAAGGACCGTAAGAATCACAGCATCCCAAGCTCAGGGGCCAAAATGGGGAAAAATTATTCTATAAACTTTCGACTCAACGCAGAGGACATGGTGTTGTTTTTTATGATGCTCTCCCTCGTGTTGAGTACCAGTGGGCACCGTAGAATCGCCAGAGTCGAATGCCCGGATAGTAAAGGTTCGGCGCCTGCCGCGCTGGCCTGAGTGCGCATCGCCGCTCGGCGCTCGCCCACGACGTTAGGATGGAACGAACTTATCACAACACTCTCAAGTACTTGGAGTTGAACATAGCATATGAAAAGACGGTATGTCAAGCCGTTGTGTCTCGGAGGTAAGAGCGGTGAATCTACCCCTTGCGAAGGCCGTGAGAATAATCCGCCCCGAACCAGCGGCCACTTAAGGTTATGCCTTGCTTCCCTGACTCTACTAGTACTCGTTCAGCGCGCAGCTACCATGTCGCGTCTCCCTGCTACCACCCCGCGACGCTGTTCAACTTGAAGCTCGAGCAGTGAGTCGGGCCAGGACGCGAAACCACTTCTCGACGCTTCGGAAGACTCGACGATCGAACATCGAAATCCTGGTAAGACGACAGGAGCTCCACCCAGTCTTCTTCGACACTCATACAGGAGGCGCAGGACAACGAATCGGACGGGGGACTGCACCCCGCGATGCCAGCCTCTGCCGGCGCCGCCACGCCGATGCACAAACAGCTTCCGCTCGTGCTCGCCACCACCTGCTTCTTCGTCTTCGCCGCCCTGCTGTTCGTCCATCCCTACCTCCGCGCCAGCCTCGCCAGTCCTTACCGCGTCGTGTACGACCCATACCAACATGCGTACTTGTTATGCTTATTTTGTGCTCTCGCTCAACACCGTCCTCACCCTTGCCTCGTCTGCCGCCAGAACCACCTTTGTCCTCAAAGACAAGTACGTCGGCAACGACTTCTACAACGGCTTCCAGTGGGAGACCCTCGATGACCCCACCCACGGGTGTGTCAACTACGTCGACCAGAACACGGCAAAGAACAACAACCTCACGCAGGGTGCGCTTTCCCGATGTCAACCCTCACACGCTTTGCTCACTGCACTCCCCTCTGTGGTAGCGACGGACACAAAGTTCTTCATGCGCGCCGACACGAACAAGGTCGTCGGCAAGAACGCCCGCGGCCGCGACAGCGTGCGCATCTCGTCGTGGGCAGCCTACGAAGACTCTGTTATCGTCCTCGATGTGCAGCACATGCCCGAGGGGTGCGGGACATGGCCCGCGTTCTGGACGCTGAGCCAAAAGGGGCCCTGGCCTGCCGGCGGGGAGATCGACATTCTGGAAGGTGCGTGGCTCATGTGTCCTGTCCCGCCACACTCGATCGACGCGCCCCCTGCGCTGTGCAGGCGTGAATCTGCAGAGCAACAACATCGCGACGCTGCACACGAATCAGTACTGCACGATGCCGCAGTCGCGGTACCAATCAGGGTGCGTCTGTCTCTTCGTCTACCCAAAGACTCAGCTTTACGTTTCCCTCCCTCTCACGCAGGAGCGTCACGAGCACGAACTGCGACGCGAACGCGAACTTCAACCAGGGCTGCGGCGCGCAGGCCACGGACGGCTTCTCGTACGGCACGCTCTTCAACAGCGTCGGCGGCGGCTACTACGTCATGTCGCGCACGCCCGACGACGGGATCAAGGTCTGGTTCTGGCGGCGCGACGACCCGGGCGTGCCGCCCGCGGTCACGCAGAAGGGGTTCTTCAACGACGTCTTCGGCGCCGACCAGCCCGTGCTCACCCTGCCCGACCCGACGTGGGGCCCGCCCCTCGCGTACTTTCCCTTTGGCGACTTTTGCGAGTACGGCGGCCACTTTGACGCCCACATCATGGTGTTCGACCTGACGTTCTGCGTGCGTCGTCTTGTCTTGGCGTCGTGCCGCTGTCGTCCTTGCTGACCCACGGTTCGTCTCAGGGTGACTGGGCCGGCACGGACTTTGCCTCCGCGGGCTGCGGATTCAGCTGCGACGACTGTATGCGCTTCTTCGCATATATTCTTCGTTTGGATGCTAACGTTGCACGTACAGTTGTGAGGAACAGCCCTGATGCGTTCGAAGACGCCTATTGGGAGATCAACTCCTTGCACGTCTTCACACCCAAGAGCTGAATATGGCCTTGTCCCATCTCCACCCATATTTCTAGCATCTGCAATCTAAATCTTGACGGACTCTGGTTTTGTATCCAACCCGCGCTCATACTGTGTCTCTACTTTTCCTTGTACTACACCCTACCCTGTCCTTTCTAGCCGGCCACTTTAACTGCACTTTTATCTCGGACTCTCTATCTACTCACAAGTCGTACCTCGGAATCATTCTGACAGTAGCTGGGTAGCCCAAAACCTCATGTACCTGTACGCAGTTCAGTCATATCTAGATTGAGTTGTTCTGTAAGTTATACAAGAAACACGGTTACCTAGATGGCAACAATACACGATAGCAAGCGACAAATCAATCCGGGAAGACGATAACGAAAGATGAGAAACGCGATGGTGAAAGCGGGCAAACCAATGGACATAAATCGTTATAAGATAC